AATAAAAATCAATAGCAGCGCAAAGACAGACTTTTAAAAAAAAAAATAGAGGTAGAATCAGGTGAATTTAATCCTTTTACGACATCACTTACCTCGTAACGATACAGTTGTGTGACCGGTCTCCACGTCTTGAATCTTCAACGTACATATAGTGTATGTACTTGAATAATATGTATTAATATGTCTTCAAGGAAATCTCATGAAGGAAACTTCGCATTTATATTCTAATAATATCTGGTAATTACTGAATGAGTTGAAATAATTATAGGACTTTCATATTTCACATATGCATTATTTGTGACATGTGATTTTCAAATATGCTGTGATTTTTTACCCTGTGACCTTGATCTTGGAGCTTGACCTACTTAAAAAATAATATTACTTTAAATTGACCATAACTTTCGAAAATTATATTAAGCTTCCATTTTATTAACTTGCATTGCCTGTGACAACGCCTTTCAATATTCACTGTAATTTTTGACCATTTGACCTTGAAGTTTGACCTGCTTTTCAAAAACATTAACAATTGTCATACGTTTTGAATGAGAGGAGATAGAGCTTATATTTTGCCCCTGTGTATTACCTGAGACAACACTTTTCTAAATACACTGACTTTTTACAACGTGACCGTGAAGCTTGGCTTACTTTTCACAATCTTAACCTTGATCATAGAGAGATAGGACTTTCATGTTGCACAAAAATCACATGACTGTACGTACTAGTATATAATGAACTTTGACCTTGAAGTTTAACCGGCTTTTCCAAAATTTAAACATAACATAAGCATAAAATAAAAAAAAATTGATCATAACTTTTTATAGAGAAAGGGTAGCACTTTCATACCCGGTTTTACACAGTCATGTTAGCTGTGACAAGGCCTATCAAAAAAACGCAGTTACATGTATGTTAAGGAAGCATATATTTCATTTATCGGGAAATTTAGACTTTTTAAAGAAAATAAGGCTTGATAATTTACCAAAACCGCTAATAAACGTAAACTATTATTATCTATTGCATAAAGATACAGGAGCGTCTAACGCAAAGACGTCCACCACCATCACGTCATCACGTGATTTCTATTCATAACGTAATTTTCCTTCATAAAAAAGCTAACAGAACAACAATACCCCGGAGTGTAATAATTTCTTTGAATAAATAATAAAGTTGAAAAACTTTCTATTTTGCCTAAAAAGTGCTGCTGGAATCACACTGTCCTGTCAGTAAAATAAAAAATTAACACATAAGCACGAAACCTTACCCAATGTTTTGAATTTTATACATATGAATCGAGATTTTTCGTAAAACCATGCTTATCTCAGCATTCTAGCAGCACTTTCCAAGTATTTTAGGAGGCCAGTTTTGCATCTGTATAAATATTATGTTTTGAAATATACAGCTTATTGTTGTTCTAGTGCAATATTTTTGTCAAGATTGATAGAGGAAAGAACGACATGGATACGTATATAGCTGACTGTCTTCGAAAGAGAATAAAATCGATGAAAATGAATTAGCAAAACTGTTTTATGAACTCAACTTCATATGAATTTTACAAAATATTCACGATATCTGCTTTGAAACTCCATTTTACGCATCTTTGTACATGTCATCTTAGCCAAATCCTCTTTACAAGACATAATCAATTCCCAAGTTACTCGATATACACATATGACGTCATCAATGGTAGATTTAACTCAAAATGATAGATACAGCATTACAAAATAAAGACATTTAATTTTTGTTAATATTTACACGTTTCTATTCATTTTCTACAGTTAAATTACATCTCTAAATACCAATATTACGAGGACTTGTATTCTAAAATTGACGTCATCTTACCTACTATGACGTCATATTGTAGCACTGATTTAGTCAAGGTAGAATATTTTGTATGCTTCCTTATTACCCCTGCGAAGCGTATAGCTTAAATCATGCAGAGTGTGTCATGGCCTTGAATCAAGGTCATTTAGGATAAGATGTTCTGGCTGGGTGCATTGCTTGAAAGAACATGTGTGAATTTGTCAATACGGTAGTAGCACACAAATGGGATGTTCTCATCACCAGCGTTTGTCATGGTGTGACGCAAGGTCATTTTGACAAGGTCAAGGTCGCAAAAAACCCTTTACTTTCCATTGTTAAGAAAGTAAAACATAATGAAATGATATCTACCCATAAAAGATTGCTTTGACATAAGAACGTGGCATGACCTTGACTCAGGTCACTTCTCCCTGTCCGCAGCTCAGACGGAAGACCTACTCGTTGCTTTGCAACGAGCTTGACTCTAGTTATCAATTTTATTATTTTTATTACTTTTAATTATCTATTGTGAAATTGATTGAGTGGGATTTAAAATAGACTTTATCACTTTCTCACTTTCATATTTTTGTAGTACATGTATATTGCTTTTGAATCCCTGCATTCATCTTTAAATATGTAATTTTCTTGTTCTTTATGTAAAAAATAATGTAAACTGGGCCATCTTTAAAAAAAAAATATTTGTTTATTCTCTCTTTACCGACTGGCTAGGTATGGCCCGACTCATCAAATCCTGTTTTAATCTCTGTGAAACTTGTGAACCGATATCTGAGTCTTTATATTTCTTAATTTTCTCATGGCGTTTATAATTTTGTTGAAATTTTCTAGAAAAATAATTCTCTCACTTTCCTACTTACCCCCATTTTATTTTTACCATGAGTCAAAAGAGGGCAAACAGACATATTTTTAAATCATCTTAACATTTTTAAGATATTTTTAGGAATGTTTTGTTCGGAAAATTGTTCTCTAGTCAAACACTTTAGTAAGGTTGAATATTATACATTTAATGCATGATAGTGAGGGAAATCTGAAGACTTACTCAGCCAAGAGAAACCTTATACCCAAAGCGCTTCTCCCGAGGGGAATATGATATTTCTTGGCTGAATAAGTCTTCATGTTTCCTGAACATTTATGCAATTAATTGTTTATAATACAGAAACAAACGCAACCTTTAAAATAAACTAGGGATGGCAATCGATTACAGAATTGCTAATCGGTTAAACGCAAGACGTTCCGACGGACTAACTGGTTAGTCGTATCAAGATGTTCATTTAGTTATTTCTTCATATACACAAGAAGGCTATAAAAGATGTTATAATTTTAATTTCATTCTGTTAATTATCTTGATCAGGATATTTTATGTGCATAAGAGTACATTTTATTTTCATTTCAATATGCGAGAAAAGATGAAGAAAAGCACGAATCTTGCCTGAAAATCAGACATAGATAACTTTCCAACGCGAACGTGAATGAAGGTAATTCTGCATTGTCACCATAATCAAAACTATGTCTGAACTCTCACTTTATTCACTCCGTTATTTCCTAATTAAACATTACATAAGATAACGGCAAAATATAGATATACTAATTTAAAGTGTTAAGTGGTGATGCTTTTATATTTTTAAGCAATAAAATGCTTTCTTTGTTTGTTATTATCATTAATACAATAATTAATCTTTTAATCCTTCTTTAAATTGATTATTTAAACAGATATAAATATAAACAATAAAATATCTGAAGTTTGTTTGTTATTGCTGGAATTAACGGAAGCAGCTGTTGCAGAAAAAATACATGTACATAACCCGCGTAAGCGGGTTATGTAAATTTTTCTGCAATAGCTGCCACCGTAAATTCCAGCAATAACAAACAAACTTCAGATATTTTATTGTTTATATTTATATCTGTTTAAATAATCAATTTAAAGAAGGATTAAAAGATTAATTATTGTATTAATGATGCGGACGTCTTTATACGTTCAATCATGAAACAGCCACTGATCAAGAAACCTGTACAGGCGGCATGCCCACTGTAGTTCATTCAGTGATTAACGCAATGGGTTTTCTTAAGAAATAAAGGAGAAAAAATATTCAGTGGATGTAAATATACTGTCATTAAAAATCACATACAGGGCAGGCGATGTACATCTAAAAACATGATGTTTAAAAAACAGCAATTAACACTTTACAAACTGACCAATTACCGACATCAATCGGGAGAGCTATAAATACCTCCAAATTATTTAATTACAAGATATGTTTAAAAAAAAAATAAATGAACTTTGAGCAGTGGTTTCCTTTCTAAAAAGTGAATTTTAAGAAAATATTTTCCATGGACATATATTTTTCGACTAACCGATAAGCATCGTTCCGACCGATTAATCGATTAACTGGTTAAGAATTGCCATCTCTAAAATAAACATAAACTTTCAAATTTGGCACCGCTCTCAAATCCGCTTTCATTGTTTACGTAAAGTTACTAAAAAACCCTTTGTTCAACATATTATCATCAATTTTCTGACGTAAACCAAGCTATTGTGACATCTACTACTCTCGGGAGATTTCGTTCAACGCAGAACTATATTGCGGGGAAATACACTACATGTAGGTGTTCCAATGAGGTGGAATATGATGAAAAGCGTGACGACGGCCGTGAAATATTATACATTTATTGACTGAGTTCGAGGGCAACATGCGTTTTGTCGGACCCAAGAACCAAACTGTCTGCCTGAGGCCGTTAGGCCGAAGGCAGACAGTTTGGTTCGAGGGTTCGACAAAATGCATTTTGCCCGAGAACTCTGTCAATAAATGTTTTGTTATATCTTTCATTTTTTTTTATATATATTTACATGTATTTTGTACTTAATTCCGTGATGTAACATCAGATCTATCACTGTTTAACACCAGCGAATGAAAATGAGATTAAGCTCCGCCCACTCTGTGACGTAAGCGGTCCAACATCTCTCCGAGCGGTCCAACATCTCACTCAGCGGTCCAACATCGATTTTTTTTATGCCCGCTCAGCAAAACATTAAAAATGTTAGACTTTTTTTGTATAGAATTGTATAGGAACAAATTTCTAAAGGTATAACAAGAAGTTTTACGGCCCGATCAGGTGATAACTTACATGTAGATCCAATCAGATAACACCTTGTATAGAATATTTATAATGAGGTATAATAATATACTTACAACGGATCAGATGATCCTTTTCTTTTGTTTTCCAATAATGTATAACATCCTGGATCTACAATTTAAGTTCTCTGATTTACTTAAATTTGATTTATCAATATTTTGGATCATGTGCAGTTTTCATCTTTTATTTAACGGCCAAATCCTAAACCTAGTGTCTATAATTTGAGACATGTAAACATGTATCTTGGAGTACATAACTTAAAGAAGCTAAGATATCAATATGGCAATTCATGCCTTTGTTTCTCCTTTAAAGAATACTAGTAATCTTAGAGTCGATTCTTTTCTCTATATTAATTATCATGTAAAATGGATATTAACTACATATTATCTACTTCAATTTATTTCCTTCAATCCACTCAGTGGTATATAAAGTTTTTATCGTACAATATTAACTAAGACTATCATATACACTTGACTATAAGTCGATCCACCTATATGCCAAATGTATTTTATTATAAGGTTTTTTTTAGGTAACACCATATGGCCCACGTCACTTTACACCCCCTATATTCAAATCAATTGAACCTTTCATGACTCTCTTTCTAAATCATTTTTGACTATTGATTTTTAAGTCCTTTCGTCTGATCATCAATTCGTCCGGCTGTACTTCTATTTTTTAGTTTTACTTTAGTTTCCACACAATATCTCGAGAAACCTTTGACCTTTTAAAATAAATGACAACTAATTTCCTCTGGCCAGACAAGATGCCCATTGTTTATTGAGGTCAAAGGGTCCATTTGAGGCTGACCAAACACAGTAGGTTTTGTGAAAAATGTTGACAATGTTGAACGTGATGCCAATGTGTATTTTAATGACTTGTTGTTTGCATTTAATATAAGACTAGGCGTATTATGTATTACATTATAACCTTATGATATCTTTTTCGTTTCCGGCTTACCGGTATAATTTATAACCTGATACGGTCTAGAATTATAACAATTTGTCGGCTGATACATCTTAGGTAGAAAGTTTGACCTTAAATTTAGTCAATAAAGTTAAAAACCTGTGTTTCAATAATATTACATCAAACAATCATGGAATCGGAATTTTCTGGTAAAATGCACATCTAGTCACACTGTGTACTAAAAATCTGCAACGTTTAACAAAATGCTTTGCAGAGGTTTAAGGAGAGTTGAAAAATATGGGCATCTACAAAAGCTTTAAAAGGTAGTACCTGTCGATCACCACCCTTTTAAGACATTTTGCCGTCTTGCCGCACCAATGAAAATGATGTACTTACCTGACAGTTTGCCACACCAATGAAAATGTCGAACTTACTTGGACCTTAGAGTTAAATTTTTTTTCTTATTTATGTTTTTTTGTGACAAAATGTCGAAAGTACCAGAACAATAGGCTCAAGTGCCACATCGCTCACCTGAGTAACTTGGATGATGCAGTTCTTTACCATAGTCCCTTGGCTTCCCTATTGTGGCCCCGCCCTACCCCCAGGGGTCTTGATTTTAACAATTTCATATCTTCACTACCCCAGGATGCTTCCACTTAAGTGTCAGCTTTCATTACCCAGTGGTTTTTGAGAAGAAGATTTAAAAAGAATTTTTCTATATATTTCTATGTTAAACTTGGATTTTATTGTGGCTCTGTCCTACCCCTGGGGGTCATGATGTAAACAATTTAATATCTACAATACTCAAGGATGCTTCCACATAAGTTTCAGCTTTCCTGACCCAGTGGTTCTTGAGAAGAAGATTTTTTAGTCTTTTCTTGATTATCTCCCCTTGGGAGAAGACTTAGTACTTCATTTTAAGAACTTGAATTTCCCTTAACACAAGGATGCTTTGTACCAAGTTTGATCAAAATTTGCTCAGTGGTTCTTGAGAAGAAGTCGAAAATGTGAAAAATTTACAGACGGACGAACGGACGACGGACACAATGTGATCAGAAAAGTTCACTTGAGACTTCGGCTCAGGTGAGCTAAAAATTACCAAAAATTGAGACAAATACAATCATGTAATCGTAAGTCCCCTATGATCTATATTGTGGTCAAAGTTTAGATTGCAAATCGGCGACTTCAAATAATGGTCAATAATAATAAATGTGAAAGCAATTTTGATATATTACAAAAAGCAAACAAAAAACGTTTTTGCCTCTACTGAAAATTAACAAATATTGATTTACGAGGTTAAGGAAGTGCAATTTCGTTAGATTGCATTGTTTAAGAGCCATAAAATCAATATTTAATTTGAAACTGCACAGGAATACATTGTAAGTAATTTCTGCTGTTTTAATATGTATGCGCCCAAATGAAGAGATAAGGGAAGCATTTTGTGTTTTTTTCTGTTTGTCTGAGTGTTTGTCTGTTGTCAACTTGAACCTTCCCCATATTTTTTAACCATGAGAGATAAAGACTTCATATTTGATATGCTTACTCAATTAATTGAGCTCTTCCAAATGACATCAATGTCGATGACCTTATGTTCTTAATTCTAACCTATATGTTCAAACCTTTGCTTCAACTTTTGAACCATTGAGAAAAGATATTCCATATCTGGTATACATACTCCATATTTTATTTTAAATTTATTTGAAAGCTTTGGACAAATTTAACCAAACTTGAAGTTGTCTGGGTCTTCGTTTGACGCCACATTTTTCCGTCATTATTAGGTTAAAAGATTGTTACATTTTCCTGAAACAATTTTAGAAACATTAAAACAAACAACTTCGATGGTTAGAAAATGATACGAAATTGATGCTCGTGGCAGACTAATATCATCTCAAACAGTGCGCATCATCCTTAAATCGGTGCACATGTGCTTCACGCCCAAAGATAAGACAAATATAATGCACTGTCCAATTCCAGATCTGAACATTTGGGAGTTTAATAAGTAATTCAAAGACCCCCCCCCCCACCCCTGCCCCCACTCCATTCATTTTCAACAGCTTAGAGAAATGTGTTAATTTCCAATTCAGAGTTACGTGGTCTCCACAAGAAAAGGATGTCTTGCAGTTATTAGAGCGAATGGTGGTCTTACTCCATACAGATTATTTTACATGAAAATATTTATTTTGATGGTACATCATGTCCTTGAAACTTTGCTAAATCTTACGACAAGATGATAGATGTAACATGAACTTTACACAACATCAAACTGAAATATGTATCATTTACTAAGAATTAAAAAAAATATTTACTGAATGCATTTCTTCGTTAAAAATTAAAATATTGGGTGAACACTTAGTTTTTTGGTTCAGTGTATATAAACATAAACACTTACAATTAAAAATTTCTGTTGAAGCATATGAGTCTGGACATCGCTGTTTGAATTTTTTGCAGCTAATACCATAGTTATCTTGAACCCTCTCTCCAGCTTCGTTAAATTCAACACAAAACCCTTAAAAAAAATTTCTTGGTCTTAAAAAGTAAAACGACATGTCATCTGCAGGAATATTGTGCGTGAATCATTTGTTGTTAAAATGTCAAAGCCAAGCTAATGATTTTGTTAGCTGACCATAGCTGGGTAGACTTACAAACGTTATTTTTATCCATCTCCCTCCCTTCACGAAACCAATCAATCCAATTTATGATTGGACGTCTGGAAAGCTTATTGTCTTTATAAAAACTGTACACATTATTATAAGATACTTTAAAGGGGCCTGGGCACAGTTTCAACTGATTTTTTAAAACCCAATTTTAATGTCTACACTTCCTACCCAATGCATCATCTATTGATAAGCAAAAATTTGAAAATCATTTGTTGATTAACAAATAAGATACAGAAATTAACATTATTCAAAATGTCATCAAGGCTCATGCCTTGTTTTTATTTACATATAGAAAATACCATATTTATAACAAAATGAATTTCAGCAAATCAATAGTAACCGTCGAATCATATTTAGAATTAACTTTTATTTGAAATTATTTACTCTGAATGGACATATATTAGTATATTAACCTGTGTAAACAAAAACATGACACTGGCACTGTTTATAAAACAAAGGTTTGGAGCTCTAAATATGCCTTGCATCTGGACAACTGGCGTTCAAATCTTTGATGGCACTAGAAAGACGTGTAAAAATGGAAAAATAAAGTTAGAAATTTGAGCTGAAACTGTGTCCATACCCCTTTAAAGGAACTTCAAAATTATACGTTTAACTTTACAGTCGTCCATTGCTCAAGTAAGACCGACAATCATTTTTGGTCAGGAGTCACCTATATATTGACGTTTTTTTGACATCACAATGATGGAGAAAATTATTACTTTCCATATGCTATTTGTAGAACACGTGCGTAACTATAGGTGTGCCAAATTTCTTTTTGACCTGAATTGTAAAGATAGGACGCGAACAATAAATATAGAGTTGAAAAATATATTGCAAGCCAAAACTTGGAAATGCAAAAGATTGATAATACCTGGGAAAACTGAAAATGTTTATTTGAAAATCTCATTAAAGTATAGACTGTTACAATATGTGACACTTTTATTAGCTATATTGATATGTATAAATAAATATATATTATAAGTTACATAGTCTTTTAGTGACAGGGTATGGGATGATACCTGGTTAGTAAATTTCATACCTGGCGAGGCGGAGCCGAGTCAGGTATGAAATTTACTAACCAGGTATCATCCCATACCCTGTTACTAAATGACTATGTAACGAATTGACCCCACCGATGAAACATTTACGTTTTATCTGTAGTTTATAAATGGTTTTCTCTGCTTAATGCTTCATCACGCTTAAACTGTCCCTATTATGACGTCACATTTGTGTTTTTGTCTTAATACATCGACCGGGTATAGATTCACAACTGACCGGGTATGGATTTACAACTGACCAGGTATAAGTAATCCACCGCCTTCACCTGACAGACTTCAACCAAATGTAAGAAAAATCAACAGAGGTGGGTTAAAATTATATCTCTCCCTTTTCTGATTAAACATAAAAACAAATACAAGCGCGCCACTTATCAAAAAGAATGTGAGTGAAAAAGTGTGAGTTAATGGCATGGAAAAAAGGAATACTTTATTTTGTTCTAATATGTTTGCAATAAGACAAAAAAAAATATTTAAAAAAATGATAGTAGGCGAACTTTTAAAGCACCCATCGTATACAACTTTTTTTCTTTATTTCATCACACGGTGTATGTACCTGAATTTTCGATTATTTAGGTTTGTCGTGCTCCTCTGCTTGTCTGTCTGTCTATTTGTACACAAAAACTTTAACCTTGCACATATCTTTTGATTTAGTGCAGAAATGACTTTAATATTTCTCATGTGTATTACTTGTGACAAGGCCTTGCTTTTAAGCAGTTATTGCTTGGGCTCTCCTACTTCCCATTTGTGACAATACATTTCAATAGAAACAAACAACTTTGACTCTCTGACCTCGATCCTTGGGATTGTTCTACCTTTCAAATACTTATCCTTGGGCTTAACTTTTGAACAGGTGGTACTTTGGCTTTCATTTTTTACAATTGTATTTCTTGTGAAAGACCCTTACTTTGGGTACCGACATAATAAAAATAATCATCTTTGAAATGTTGCCATATGGCAGCATCAGAGTTTCACAACCACAACTTGTATTTTTGGATTGAGTGACGTAAAACAGTATAAATCTTTGCTGAAGATACTCAAATACATATGACGTCTGCAAAAGTCAAGAACATGGCAATATCACAATTTTCTTAAATCTCAGAGGAACTTTTTTTGGGAGGGTTTCCCGCATGGCACAGTGGTAAGAGCGTCTCCTTTAGAGTCGCAAGGAAAGGAGTAAATCTTTACGTGGCGGGTTCAAATACCACTGGAGGACGTGGAAACCGGTCTTTGAGATGAGACAGTATAAACTGAGGTCCCGTGTCGCAGTAGGTGCTGGCACGAAAAATATCTCTCTTTGCTCAATGTCCTTGGACGAAATTTGCAGTTTTCCACGTACCGGCAAGTGGTGGCGTCGCCATATAAGTGAAAAATTCTCGAGGGACGTAAAATAATGCGCAAACAGTCAATCTTTTAGGATATATATATATATATATATATATATATATATATATATATATATATATATATATATATATATATATATATATATATATATATATATATATATATCTATATTATACACCTATTTACTGGCTATGAGGACAATAGCAAGTTTATCGTTCCCCAAGACAGCAAACTATTTCCCGAGGCGCAGCTGAGGGAAATAGTTTGCTGTTGAGGGGGACGATAAACTTGCTATTGTCCGAATAGTCAGTAAATAGGTGTTTTATTATACCGATGCTGACTTAACCTTTGTTAACTTTCTGGGAGTTCAGGGTACACACAATTTTGATATTCCATATTATACCGATGCTGACTTAACTTTCATTACGTCATAATATATACGCGTCACAATCCGTATAAAACCAGAAGTTTTCCTAGATGAAAAGCGAGGGAAACGGAATGCTGCCGTTGAATAGTTTGAGGACTATTCACCATGGGCAAATAGCACTAAAACTATTTCACGGTAGAGACTGTTTAGAAAAAATAGCATTTTTATTCGTCTGATTTTTATATAGAAAAAATAAACAGAGGTAAACAATATATATATATATATATATATATATATATATATATATATATATATATATATATATATATATATATATATATATATATATATATATATATATATATATATATATATATATATATATATATATATATATATATATATTCACACCGATAAAATAATGACAATAAAATCAGCAGACAGACTATTTATGATTTCATTTTTAATTTTCCATTGTATTCTAATTCATGAAAAATATTTCAAAATACAATTATATGATCCTTTCTTGTGTTCGGTCGTTTAAAGCCCTATGAACTGTATTGTACCTAAAGGATTTTGCAAGTTGTGTGATACTGTTTTTAAATATAAAAGACGTACATTTGAATTTATTTTTAAAAGTTGAGAGATACATTTAGCTAAAATGGCGTGTCAATGCATGTATCTGTAATGTTTGAAATATGTGGAGAAAACGAACAGTTTTCGATATCATTAAACTTTACAAAATACGAGCACAGCAAATACGGACCTCAAAAACATTATAGGATCTGGTGTCATGGAGGAATGAGCTTCCTCTGTCGATCAGTCATACCAGCCGTGTGCTCCCTGTCATCATCGTTAAATAACAAAATAATCCGTTCGCATTTCATTGTGTAAATATTCAATGTTATCTCCATATATTTCATTTAAGAAAATACTTTTCATACATATTTTATATTTTTTCAAATCATGCAATCTTTAGCTACGTTACCGGAGCTTTGCCAAACTGGCGCGCACACCTCCAATAAATTGTTCATGTAAGCATTTCTCACACAGTGGTACTTGAAGTTTTCTTTTTTTGTACAGCTTTGATCAACCGCACTGCAGTTTTTTATCTTAGCCCGTTCTGTCCATGCATCTGAATCTTCTGGACATTTTTTAACGGATACAACTGTTGATGCTGATGCATGGCAATTCGATTGACAAGAAACATGTAATGAAGGAGAAAGCACCTTAAGAATAAAAAAGAACAAACATTGCAATAAAATACTTTAACATATATACCATATATATATATATATGCATTGCAAATATGCATAATTTGTTGATACATGTACTACAGTTCAGAGGAATGTTTTAAAAAAGAAAAAGATATGCAGAACATACCATACAAAACCACAAAATAGATCTCATATTCTCAAGATTTTGTCATCGGCTGATATTTCCTAAAAAAGAATGCATGCTAAAACTAATTATGAACATTTTTATGATATATTTAATTAAGCATACAATTCTTCATATTTTTATGTTAAATAGTTTTTTTCTCTTTTCATTAACACGCCAGGGATGCATATTATATTTTTTTCCAAAAGGAAAAGTTAACAGAACAAGCAAATTCAAAGAATTGTTGTCCGTTCGGTGTCTTTGTGGGTGAGATGTTATTTTGTGACATATTGTGTCTAATATGAAAACCATATCATATGTCATTTTTTAGAAATTATCATTGATGTTGTTATTTTTTAAATAAGGTCAATCGTGAAGGTGAAGGTCAAAGGGTCAAAGGTGTTTGTATCCAATGAAAGGTCATCTCAGAAGGATTACATAGTTAAGTACGAAAGTCCTATCCTTACCCTTCAAAAGTTATGGTCAGGGTTAAAGGGTAGCATAAGTATAAGAATCTCCAAGAATAAGTACGTAAATCTCCAAGGTCAAAACGTCAAAGTTGTTGGTATCCAATGAAAGGTCTTGCCACAAAGAATACATATTTGAAATATGAAAGCCCTGGTATCTACCGTTTAAAAGTAGTGACCAAGGTTTAAGTTTTTTAAAAGTAGTTAAAACTCCAAGGTCAAGGTCAAAGGGTCAAAGTTCTCGATATCAAAAGAAAGGTCTTCTTACATGGATTACACCTGAGAAGATTGATAGCCCTATCCTTACAGTTCAAAAGTTGTGGTAAAGGTAAAGTTTTTTACTAAGTTCGCAAATCTCCAAGGTTAAAAGGTCAAAGTTCTTGGCATCAAATGAAAGGTCTTACCAAAAAGAAACCATATGTTAAATATGAAAGTCCTAGTATCTACGACTTAAAAGTTGTGGCCAAGGTCAAAGTTTTTAGAAAAGAGGGTCAAACTCCAAGGTAATTTCAAAGGGTCAAAGGTCTTGGTATCCAATGAAAGGTCTTCTCACAAGGATTACATAGTTGAAGTACGAAAGCCCTATCCTTACCACTCAAAAGTAATGGTCAAGGTTAAATTTTTTACATAATTACGAAAATCTCTAAGCTCATGGTCAAAAGGTCAAAGTTGCTGGTATTCAATGAAAGGTCTTGTCACAAATAATACATATGTGAAATATGAATTCATAGAGTCTACCGTTCAAAAGTTGTAACCAAGGTTAAAGTTTTTAAAAAGTAGTTAAAACTCCAAGATCAAGGTCAAAGGGTCAAATTTGGTGGTATCCAAAGAAAGGTCCTGTCACAAGGAATACACAGGTGAAATATGAATGTCATAACTCAACTTTATCAAAAGTTATGGGCACGGTTTAAGTTTTTGTGACGGACAGACAGCTACACAGACAGGTGGACAGACGGACGGACGAATGAGATTTAATGCCCCCTCGCTTTCGTGAAAGCGGGGGACAAAAATGAGAAAATTGCATTTCGGAACGACAGTTACTATTCTTTGTTTATGCGAAAATTTATTGTTGACTGATTTTCATCTTTTTTAACCGACCGAAGCGCCAAATTGAAAGGAACTCTTAAATGGGCCTTTCAGAAATCATTTTACGATAAGGTGTTTTGCTTAACCATTTTTTTTTAAATAATGTATTACTGATTAATTGGTTGATTATTTGCATATTGTTTTGGGTCCCATTCGTGGATATTTCACTAATCTTACGAACGAACGTACCAAAACGGGGATCAGTCATTGAATTCAAAAGTACATTATTAAATTCTTCAATTTATGGAATTAATTTCAATAGATAAAATTCCCACAAGAAACCTCAAACCTAGTATTTCTCGTACTAGCTACTGTGACGCTACAATGCATTTAAATAGACATTTAAACGAGTAAAAAGTCTTCGAAAAGGTTAATGATAGGAAAATGAAAAATGTCTTATTCAGAGGCATGGAATCTAAAAGAAAAGTGTGACCAGATCTTGTAGGGAGTCGAATGGCAGATGATACTTTATGATGGACCTACCGATCCGTAAGGAGTTATGGTATACAGTTTGATTGCAAAACCTCTTAACCTACATATCTCACGGAAAATTTTAATTTATGAAAATTTTACACACACACAAAGTATAAATTTAGGACCTTGAACTTTCACCATTTGACCTCAATATAAATTGGTGTCTTTTTACGTCATAGGGGATTGTGGTGAAAAATATCATTACAAAAGCTGGAAGACATTACGAGATACATGGAAACGAAAGTATTAAAACGGACAGAATAATTAAATTTATGACTCCACTTTTTTTGCCTCAAAATCAATAGGGTCTTCTTCATGGTACATGTACATATTGTCTTTTTGTACATATGTAGTTTTGTACATATTATTGTACATATTGTACTTGCCCTCACTGAACATACACTAGACAAAAGTGCTAACGCACCACCTAAGAGAATTAATATTTTAATGTTTAAAACCTGTTTATGATGTACTTGATATATAAATATGTTACTTTAAAAAAAAAAAAAGTAAGGCATGTTGATGCCAAAATTTATAAATAACTACAATGTTTTCTGAAGTGTGCCCAATTCATAGAAAAAAAATAAAATCCTGTCTGTTCCATTTTCGAAGGGAAAAAAAATCATTTTTTTTCTTCATATTTGTGTTCTTTACATTTGCACTAATTAAAAACTCAAAAAAGTTACACTGTATGCGGCGTGTAACGCTGGAGGAACGTGTTAAAGCAAACAATATGGCGTCTGCAGGGGGTTCCGTTAGAGCAATCTTATTAAAATGAAAACAATATCAAGCTTATGAATTACACTCGTGGAAAATTTATTGTAAATATATTTATGAATATGATAATGTTTACAATAGAGAGCCACGGCATTAAGTTAGGAGCATTCTATAAGTAAAATTGTTCAACAAAACTACGTAAACCGGAACACATGCAGAAGGTGAGTGGAAAAGGTGTGGACACTAAGGCTCTGAATGATAACTGGGCGATATGAGAGTCAATGGCTGTTTGTTATTTGATTTATAAACTAGGAGACTATTCCTGTGACAACCTCAGACCACTTTCATTGATAAAAAAAAAATTCAAATATGGACAAAAATGGTGCACAGCTGGAAATTGGTTTTCGGACAAGAAGGTCATTCAAGGGTCTTTTCATGACACCAAGACATTTGTCAATCCAATTGTTTTGTAAATAATGGCATATCATAATACTTTACAAACTAGTACTGATTTGGCAAATGTTTAATTCACAAATGAGAATTAACAAGTGATGCGTTAGCAATTTTGTCTAGCGTATTGTCTTCATATTGACACTGGTTGAAAAGTTACACAATTATGTACATATTGTCGCTGGCGACATTATGAGCCCCACCCTCATTTTGTTGCCCAATTAACAGTACCGGGTATATTGTTACTTGTTCTTTTGTTGTTTTTTTTTGCTACCTTTTTTAATGTAATTAGTGTGTAAATCACACTGACGTTTCTTGTGTACTATTTCTCCATAGAAACAGTGAAAGAATGTGTTGGGAACACACAGTAATATTTTGAGTTCAATTTTGATAGTTTTAAAAACATGAAGAAATTAATAAGTCGATAAACAGAGCACTTTTTTTGGGTGCAATAAATATACAGTTTTTTTAATGGGTGGCAGTGTACACTGTAGCTATCCGGTCTGTCAATATATTTTTTTTCGGAGAGCTACACGCGGCTATACTATTTCATGCACTGCGTTTTGTCGTTATGTTTATATTTACATATCCACTGCTCTCTCCCACTATGAACATGTCATCAGGACTATAGGCGCAATTGCTTTTGATATGAGTGCAATTGCTCTATCACTTCGTGTAGAACAAATTTTACAACATTTATATTACGTACTGAGAAGTATATATATAAAATTTTTCATAAAAGGAATAAAAATAAGTTTTTAATAATATTCTTTTAAAAAAAAAAAAAAAAAAAAAAAAGAACCTTTAAAAATTTAATTTTGGTCATTGTATTTAATTGTATAATAAAACTTTTTAAAATTATAGATAACTGCCATATTTTTATTTTTTTATATCATATATATTTTTACAAAGAAAGATAACTCTTCACACTTGGATAATAACACTCAAGAAAGAGGAAATTTTCTACTTCAAGAATGATTTCAGCTATAAAAAATAAATATGAACAGCTAAAAATAAAATCATAGAAAAGCATTCTGGAAAAATAATCATTATAAAAGCATCTTCATTTTTCATCACAGTGTAAAGTTATTGATTTTTGTCAGAGGGTTTCAATAACGTTGATCGATGACGTCACAACTGCATCAAAACAAAAATTAAGAGCATGTGATGACGGCGCTGCTTGTATCCAGATAACTGTTTGAGAGGGGAATACTTCATAAATTGTTTGTTTTTTATTAGAGTAAAGGATCATTGATCAGGTGTACTGATTTTAAAGCCGTATGTTTTTCATTACTGAAGACAAGAAGCCGCGTCCTCATGTAAGTCAGGATTTCCTCTGATATTCTTTAAAAAAAATCAAAGAATGCAAATATAAGTAATAAACAACGTTATTCATTTATTTAGCGCGCATCATGGAATATGCCAGCTGAGCAATTGCTATTCATAACGCCATGTTCACTGAAAAACGTTGTTTATTTCTTAAATATTGTCGACGGCGACAATATGTTCCTCATTGCGGATATCGTTCATCAGGACATGTCGTTTGACACTGCACAGCAATTCTCCAAATAATTACTGGTACATGTATGACTAACTATTGCTTTGCCTTTTTGAGAAGATATTTTTAAAAGTATTTCCCTTTTATGTCTGTACGTAATTTTTTTTAACCATTGTGACTAGGTCTGGTTTGATTTGAAGATACTATTGGTATTACTAATCTCAATTACACGAGGACTTCCATGCCAATTTCAATATTCTATGGAATGGGATGACGTCAGTGTGCGAAGACAATTGAAATTGGCATGGAAGTCCTCGTGTAATTGAGATGACCTCACATTGACAAGTGCATTGCGATAGATGCATCGTTTAT